TAGATAGATAGATAGATAGATAGATAGATAGATAGAATATTACGAGATAGATATTAAGAGATCAAGGTAGAAAGAAAGAAAGAAAGAAAGAATATGCTATGATACAAAGAAAGAATAGATAGATAGATAGATAGATAGATAGATAGATAGATAGATAGATAGGTAGATAGACTATTACGAGATAGATATTAAGAGATCAAGGTAGAAAGAAAGAAAGAAAGAAAGAAAGAAAGAAAGAAAGAAAGAAAGAAAGAATATGCTATGATACAAAGAAAGAATAGATAGATAGATAGATAGATAGATAGATAGATAGATAGATAGATAGATAGAATATTACGAGATAGATATTAAGAGATCAAGGTAGAAAGAAAGAAAGAAAGAAAGAAAGAATATGCTATGATACAAAGAAAGAATAGATAGATAGATAGATAGATAGATAGATAGATAGATAGATAGATAGATAGATAGAATATGATGTGATACAGACATAGATAGATAGATAGATAGATAGATAGATAGATAGATAGATAGATATAAGAAATGTAGGGTTTTTTTCCAACAGACATGGTTTAAAATATCGGTAGATGATTCTATTTGAAAAAAAAAACTTACATTTACTCTGACATATGAAAATCTCTTAAAAGCAGCATTCGACATCTGTTCATATTCGGCCACGAATACAAAATGGTAAGTTCTGTATAGTTTTTCCGATACGTTCTTGTATAGTTGTCAGCAAAAGTATTGTTGTTAGTCTAAGATTCTAATTATGTATTCGAGACACCAAAATCAAGCAAATGCAAATATTTAAATACATAGGAAGTGTTTTAACGAAGAACAGAAAATCCAACAAACAATTAAAATAGCGAAAGATACCTTCCAAAAACTAAGCAAAGTATTAAGAAACAGGAAATTTTTTGTTAGATAGAAAGAAAAGAGAACTGGACTATTATATAATATCGGTTCTCCTATATGGCTGTGAATACTGCATAGATGAAGAGACTTGAGGTAAATAGAAATGTCGTTCTTTAGAAAGTTACTGAGAATGACATGGACCAAACATGTGAGTAATGACAAAGTTTTAGAGAAAATTGAAACAAAAAACGGACAATTATAATTAGAATCAGAAATATCTCGAGAACATTAAGAGGAAAGAGAGCTTGGAGAATTTGACACTCACATGACATACTGAAAGCAGGAGAGACAGGGGAAAGCAACGAATAACCTACCTAACAAGTTTGTGTAAATGGTTAGCAAAACAGTGATAAGGGAGAGATAGGTAAAAGACAAAACTTACTAAGAGCTACAAAAGAGAAATTGTAGAGAGCCATGATCGCCCACGTCCTTAAGGGGCACGACACAAAGAAGAAGAAGAAAATTAAACTTGTCTGATGGAAAAAAATGATTGGAGTGTGGCAAACACAAAGAGAACTTGCAGATCGTTCTTGTAACTAATGTCAAGCAGAGATAGACAAAGGACACGGAGACAAGATGCGTGCGTAACGCTTAGTGAAACCAAGCAGGGCAGGTGAAGATGTAAGTGAGGCATAACTGACTATAACGCCGCAGGGACGTGTGGAGGAAGCCCTGATAGAGAAGAGAAATATATAATCGATGGGGCAGGGTTGGGAAGACAGAGAATATGGCAGTGGGAGGGGGGGTTCGATCGACCATCGAACAAGCAATAGTGGAGTGGGGATTGAGTATTCCGACGGTCGAGAGCAAATCGGTGGAAGTGGCGAAGGCGAGGCGACATTAGAAGAATAAGACATCTAATCAGAAATTCCTGACTTTGATTACCAACTGAAAGTTTTGCGTGGAAGGGTCGGAGATTATGAGGCGTGGGTGGGGAGAAATGGATCGTATAAATCATGGCGTATTAAGAGCAGCTGGTTTTTGGTGTCGGACCTGGAAGTAAGGTTATATAGGGTGGCGGCTGTGAAGGAGGGTGGAATGGATGTGTATAAATAATTGTCTAGACCTGCAGGACAGAGGTATCCTTATTAAGAATGGGTGTACTTGGGTTTGTTAAGGGTGGGTGGAGGTGGTGTGCTGTAGAAAAAGAACATGGACATGAACACAGAAGAAGAAGAAGAAGAAGAAGAAGAAGAAGAAGAAGAAGAAGAAACAGATGTGGTTGCAGAAGAAGAAGGAGAAGCAGATGTGTTGCAGAAGAAGAAGAAGAAGAAGAAACAGATGTGGTTGCAGAGGAAGAAGAAGAAGAAGAAGAAGAAGAAGAAGAAGAAGAAGAAGCAGATGTGTTGCAGAAGAAAAAGAAGAAGAAGTTGTTGTTGCAGAAGAAGAAGAAGAAGAAGAAGAAGAAGAAGAAGAAGAAGAAGATGTGGTTAAAGAAGAAGAAGAAAAAGAAGAAGTGGTAGGAGAAGGGGGAGAGTGACAAAAATTGAGATAATCACCAAAATGAAATTATGAAAATGTCTCGCTTGGAAACAGCCATCATTATATGTCATTATATGCCATGCCATTCCATCCAGCTTGCTCAATCTTGGTTCTTATACTCACAACATTTCAACCGTTCTACCCGCCAGCCTTCGTCAGCTGTCTTTCGTCATTCTCGGTAACCTTCTCGAAATTTCGGAACAAACTCTTTATTCAATTCACTTGGTAGATTGTTCACATCCCGCTTCCTAGGATTAAGTGATATTTCGTCTCAATAAACACTCACAAGTTTAATTCTCCTTTGCGTCATTTGTTTGTTTCATCCACTCTATCGATGTATCATCGGTGTTACCAAACTCAAAGATTGAACTCGTAACTCAAGTAACGCTGATGTACTTCGACTTACTCTTTAAACCACTCGGCCATTAGCCATATGCATCTGACATAAATTTGGACACTATCGTTCGACTACGTGCAGCTTTAAATATTTTCTTGATTGATTATCAAGGCACGCGCCATTTCGTCAAAAGGAAAGAAAACCAAGTCCGATTTTATTGACATTTTAAGTATATCTGTTAATGGATTGTTCCTTATTTTTAAGTTTTATGGAAGTATTTTTTCAGTTCAGTTTTACGCAACCCAACCCGTTATTATGCTTGCGACCATATCACGTATAAACATCGGTTTCCGTCCGATCATCGAAGTTAATCAATGCCGAGCCTGGTCAGTACCCAGATGGGTGACCGAGATGACAATGCCTGGTGTTGCAAGCTTGGATGTGCGGATGCGGGTGCTAGTGGTGTAATGGATACTGGCTCGGAATTGTTAATCGGAGGGCCGAGTTTCAATTCCCGTTGGGTTCGTTATATTCACTTACACGCACAGAAAAAATCTTTTTATTATTACCAGCTCTGACTTTTTATGCTTTTCAGTCACTCACCATTTGGCGAATCTGAAATGCTTTTCCGCCTCATAACATTTCCCCCGCCATCAATCAGTCACTGGCCTCTGGTTTGAGATTATATGAAAAGTTGTTCTACAAACATGGATGGAAACGGAAAATATTTTTTAATCACTTCATCTCAAACAAGATCAATAGAAGAATAATCAAGAAGGCGATAGATAACGATTGACATTGCATTGGGTTCATTATATTCACTTACGCGCAAATAACCTTGGGAAATATATGAATCCACCTTTTCTCCCCGCATCTGTGGGTTAATTATTAAAACTTATATCACTAACCCATTATTATCGCCCCACAAAAATTCTTTCAATCTAAAAATATTTTCTTGAAAAGGGTTGATAAACCGTAAAAAACGAATCAATCTTCTGAGATGAGGTATTATGTACACTATTTACATTATTCGGACTATTGTCCTCATCTTTGTCGCCATATTTATTACAACGTTTCGACCCTTCAGTATCTGTCTATATTTCTGAGATGAGGTACTATGTACACTATTTACATTATTCGGACTATTGTCCTCATCTTTGTCGCCATATTTATTACAACGTTTCGGCCGTTGTACGCTTCGGCCTTCTTCAGGTGGTTGGAATGTCGAATTTAAACCTTTATTTCGCTCACTGGGGTAGACTGTTCTAGTTCCACTATGCCATGTTTAATGGATGTCAGTTATCAGTTATCTCCTGTTAATTCCCCTCTCCAAGTTCTCCACCAGCTTAACCAGGTATTGAACTCACACTCTTTGGGTCCTGTCACTGGATCTAATTAACGCCTTTATCCACTGTGCCATATGCCTTTGAAGGGTTCAGTTCGACATTCCAACCACCTGAAGAAGCCCGGAGCGTACAACAACCGAAACGTTGTAACAAATATAGCGACAAAGATGAGGATAATAGTCCGAATAATGTAAATAGTCAATCAATTTTTTTAGGTCAGTTATACACAACTTGCTTTACTCGTAGTAAATTCTGTGAATTTTGGATGTTCCTAATTTTTACATTATTATCAAGATAATCCTTTAAGGTGCTGCTGTTGTTGTTGTTGTTGTTGTTGTTGTTTCTTAATCATATCACAAAGGGTTACTGAGTGTGAAAGAAGAAGAAAAAAGAAAAACAGGAGCGAGAAAGAAGCGAAAAGAGTGATCAGGAAGAGAGTAGATAACGATTGAGATTGTCTTGAAATTTCCCTGCACCAACGACCGTCGGTTGAGCTGCTGGCATCGGTATGACAACCGATCCCCCTTCTTTAGTGAAGTGAGTGAGTGCAGCATCAGGCAGCTGTTTCCCGCTACTGGGCAGCTCACAGTATTTATTTTCCTCCGAAGACAGAGACACATCTGAGTCGCATTCTGTTCGAAGACAGAGACGCAACTGAAGAGATAATAAACCCTACCCGTCAGGTAAGTATTGTTTCAACTCCTGGGTATCAGATATTTATGTGTCGTATATTTCCAACAACACGTGTGGGTCGTTTGTTAAGAGATGTTTTTTCTCTTTGCAAGTAGTTACAAAATCAATTCATTTTTAAGGCTTACGGCCGGATCACGTTGGAACACCAATTCCCGTACTTTCACCAAAGTTAAGCAATGTCGAGCCTGGTCAGTACCTTAATGAGTGACCACTTGGGAATATCAGATGCTATAAAATTGGATGTTCGGTTGGTGTAATGGATAATGGCTCGGAGAGTCGGGTTCTAATTTCTGTTGGGTTCGTTATATTCTCTTACGGGAAAATAATCTTTGGAAAGGCATGAACCCACCTCTTCTTTCCGTTTAATTAGTAAGAATTGTATCAGTAAATCACTATTATCTCCAAAAAAGGAAAAAATCCTACAATGTAAAAATATTTTTGCCCTTAAATAACCAGCAAAGGGTTGATAAGCCGTAGTAAACGAATCAATCGATCATTTTTTAAAAAAATATAACCTTATGGAAAGGTACGCATAACGTTACGCAAGTATGCAAGTGTAGTTTTATATGCAAAATGTCTAGTTTTATTTGGAATATGTATTATTTTTTTTAGATTTAGTGAGTAGAATCGATCTCGTTGAATCAAGATAATTGATATCGCGTCTAAAATGCAAATTTATACATAAAAATAAAAATAATATTTGCTATAATCCAGAGTAGTCTGTACTTCCAAAATAACACGTTTTCAAGCAAATTTTTCCATTTGAAAAAGAAGAGTAAGAAGACGAATATTGGAGAGTAAGGAGAATAAGGGGGGGAGCTTTAGGATAGAAGGCGAAAATGAAATCAATAAATTAGAATTCTTTTCTACTTTTGGCTCCAATTCTTAAGTAAATACGAATTTTTCGTCCGATGGCTTCTATGTATGACAGCGCCAAAAGATGCAACTGAAGAGATAATAAACTCTACCCGACATATTCCAGGTAAGTATCATTTCAATTCCTGGGTATCAGATATTTATGCGTCGTATTTCATATATTTCCAACACGTGTGGGTCATTTGTTAAGAGAGTTTTTTTTCTCCCATGAGAAATGAGGAGAAACATAACTCCACTTACAGCACGGGGGCGGGCGATAACCATGCCTCAGTAAACCCCCCGAGTGGCAATAGTTAACTCCCATGCCAGGTAATTATTATTTACCCTGGTCTCTCCACTGAAAAGTTCGGGTTTAACGTTGGTAACTCAAGCGCATACACCCGGGTCAATGACAAAAATTGCCGCAACGGTTGCGCTGGTCTCGGTATGACAACTAATCACCGCCCCCCCCTCCATCATTAGTGCAATGAGGGGTGCAGTCTCGGGCAGCTGTTCCCCGGGACCGTGTACCTTACAGTATTTATTTTCCTCAGCTGCGTCTCTGTCCGCGGACAGAGCCACAATTGAGTCGCATTCTGTCCGAAAACAGAGACTCCTCAACTGAGAGATGATAAACCCTAACCCGGCATGTGCCATGTAAGTATTTATAGAAAAGGCACGGGGAAAACTACATTTACGGCGGTGGAAAAGTGACTGAAGCCGAGACGCCAGAAAAACAAAATTCCTTCATACCAACTGTTATATACCGTACCTATGAACACTAATGGTTGTTATGTCCTAATCCTCATAAATATGTTGGACACTATTGTAAGTGGGGGTAATCTGGTGTCTAAGTAGTCCACCATTAGCAGTGGTTTACCTACTTCACGCTGCTGGCGAGTATTTTATTTTGTTGATGTTATAAAGATTACTATTTCATTTCGAACCTCCGTTTTAGTTATTTCTCATTCAGTAACCCTTTCTAGGTTGCAACACAAATCATAAACACATGGTCCAAAATATTAAATAAAATAATTATATAAAATGATAGAATTATTTTTCATGAAGAGTTGCTTATAACCAATTTAATAAAATATTCTATATGTTTTTAGCTTTCATAGGAAAGAAAATTTCTGATGTACAGGGTGGTCTGAAAGTTTGTCACCCATTATCTCTCTCTCTTCCAAACTGTAGGAGCTCGTGCCAACAATCTAGAATAGAAAATTATGTTATTTGGGAGTGACAAGATTTTCGGACCACCATGTATATTTGTGAAAAATTGACATGTATTTTACAGTACAGATTTTAAATCTCCATTGGATCTTAGATGTTTGCTGAAAAACCTTATATAACATCAAATATATATTTGAAGAATTGAAAAATGTAAAGTTTAATGGGTGTCGTGTTTATTCGACTTTTCAGTTTGTTTTGCTTTTTTTTTTCATAATTTTTTATATTCAAGACTTCAGGATTTTTTAAATCATTTCATCCCATGTAAAAACATTAAAGCCACGAAAACTCAATGGTTTTATTGACTGTCAGAGAATATGAGAAAAAGAAAATATTATTAAGGGGAGAGAAAAATAAAAGAACAGGGATTAAGGTTTGGTTTGGTTTATTTGGTATATCAACTTTAATTATTTAATGCCGACGAATTTCATAGAATAGGTTTGTATGAATAGAATATGTATTCTTTGTAAGAAATCAGTTTGTAGATCAGGTTTCATTGATGTATTTTTGTAAAGAGGGTTTTTGGTCGAGAGTCTGGTTTGGTTTATTTGGTTTTACGGCATATCAACCTCAGTGTGTTATTTAATGCCGTCAAGATTTTTAGTATAGTTTAGTATGGACAGAATATATATTCCTTGTAAGAAATCAGTTTGTAGACAAGATTTCAGTGACGTATTTTTGTAAAGAGGGTTTTTTTCTCGAAAGTCTAAGGTATTGCTGGTAATATTTTTTTCAAAAAATGTATTGCTACAATAAAAATCTATTTTTACAATTTCATAGTGTTTTGAGCCCAGTTTGGAGGTTAATATTTGCCCATAGCTGGGACCCTAACAGATACTAACACCCCAGGTCAGAATGGACCTGAGAACAACAGCAATTAAGAGGTGGTTCCACGCTCCCAATCAAAAGCCTCCCGATCAATGGACTTGTTGCCGGATGTAGTTTATCGTCATACCCAGGACGCACATGAATTAAGAAGACAGAAAATAACGATTGACACTGTATTTAAGTTTTTGAAGATCAAAGTTGACAGGAAAGCAAGAAGCCAGAAGAGAATTGCATAAGCGAGAAGCACGAGAGAAGGAATTGTAAAAACTTATTAGTCGCGCAACTGGCTCGTAGCCGGGGGGAGGCGAGGGGGGGGGCTAAAAGACCCTTCCACCCCCTAGAAAATAATTTGTTTAGCCGGTACGAAAATGATGTGAACTAATTTTAACATGCTAATAATTACTCGCGGCCGCTGACGTAAAAGCCGGTGACCCACGCAAAATAGGTCTTTCTTTCATTTTTTCTTTTAAATACGACACCGAATTCCGAATTAGGGATAGAAAAAATTGCAAAAGATAAAGAAAGTGCTCCGAAAACGGAAAGATTGCATTAGAAATAAAGATTCGAGTGTTGGGTTGATATCTGGATTCCTCCTCTGATATGGTAGTGAATGCTGAAAAATCTCCCCACGGATGAGGAAAAAACTAAAAGCAGACGAAATTTGCTTCCACAGAAGGATACTGAGAATTGACAGATAGATAGATAGATAGATAGATAGATAGATAATGAACAGAACGAAATAGATAGATAGATAGATAGATAGATAGATAGATAGATAGATAATGAACATAACGAGATAGATAGATAGATAGATAGATAGATAGATAATGAACATAACGAGATAGATAGATAGATAGATAGATAGATAGATAGATAGATAGATAGATAGATAGATAGATAAATAGATAGATGTCCAGAGAAAAGAAAATTAGCCCCCCTCTTTATTTTACTCCGGTTTCGTATTTTTTCCACACTTTACCTGGTGAATTTTCGCTTAATATTCAGAAAGAAGAAGGCTCAGGCGTTGTTTTTTTGTTTGTTTGTTTTGTTTTGTTTTGTTTTGTTTATCAAGAAAACCATCAATAAGATTTTATTGCCGACTGGGAACTAACGGACCATTTTTTTTTTTTTTTAATCTCAGCCTCGTATTTTTTTAATTTTATCTCTTTATTTATTAACTTACTTTTTTCGTCACTTCAAAATACATTTTCGCTGACTTGTCAGCATCTTGGAAAAGATATAGATTATTAATTTTGTTAAAACATTTTACCAAAATGACAGTACTATAAACACACGCACATATTTTACACACAGCCACACACACACACACACACACACACACGTACGTTCATATGTATGAATATACTGGTATATGTCTTACGGTGTTACAGTGCGCTGTAAGGGTTAGGGTTATATATATAAAATTATATATCTATATAAATATAATTCAAGCATTTTTCATTGAAAACGGCCGACAAGAAACATTTAATGAACCTTTTATTGAGTTTTTCCAGCATTCTAAAATTTTCCGTTATTCAAGTGTTAAAGGATAGAAGAAATGTCCATAGTTATAATTGTTCCGAGCGCTTTCGGCTACTTCTCTAGCCATTATCAAGGATGTTTGGGTGATGAATTTCTGTATATGGCTTCTACATAGTAGTTTTTATTATGTGGAGTACATGCGTCGGGGGTTGTATGCTATTTTTTTTTTTTTTTTTGGCGGTCACTTACTATGCGCGGCCGGTTGATGTGGGCATCACTTCTATATTTAGAACACTTTTAACACGCCGTCTCCACTACTAAATAGTGTAAGATTGACAGCGGGAGAATAGTATTTAATAAGCAATGCCTTCCTAATGATGAGTTGTGTACGACTATGTGACCTAACAAAAGAATCTTTGTATTCTCGACTAGAATTGTTCTTAAAGGTTCTTGTAATGTATGACTTAATAAATGTTTATTAATCACACTCGGCTTCGAAAGGTAGCATGTAATACGTCCACTTAAGGAGGTAGTAGTGTTTCCGATATAGGTCATTGATTTTTGACAAGTAACACAGTCTTGTACTGGGCATTGGTACACTATATTGGTCACACTGTGTTTAGATTTTGGTGGGGGTATTTCGGTTGGTGACGACGAAGTTTACGGTCTTCCATTTTCTATAATATATTATGAAATGTATATGCTTTGCAGGGGTTACGGCAGAAATATGGCATTTCATGATTTTACTTATAGCAAATTCATCCTGCTTATAATTATTGTGTATCTGGTTGCAATAAAAGATGTTGATGTATTGTGGTGTTGTATTTTTGTTAAT